TTACTTCATGAAATCTGGCCTACGTATTATTCCAATTGAAGAAGACCCACTATTCAGAAGCTACAGCGTTACTCAAGCCACATCTTCATATTTCTAGTAGTGAGCAGACCGTTGGAAAATAACGACGCGTGGCAAGGGTGTAGTAACAGTCCCAGCGGACAAACGTGCTATGGATTTGCATGTGATTGGTATTTGTCATCGGTATTTGTCATTGGTATTTGTCTTTACGCTGTCTCTTTGTCAAATGCCGCCAAAAACGCGTTGATGTCAATAGCACCAGCGCCTACCCAACGCATCTGTGGTCAAATCCGGCAGACTTCTGTTTCATCCACCGAGGGTACAACATGGATAGTTTATCGTCTTTCTACATTAAGTCTGTATGAGCCAACTGTTAATTCGGCAGGCCATATCCCGTCGACTGTTCTGTGCAAATGGTGCGGATATACCGACGGTCCAGCTTGCACTAAGACAGCGATTTATTTGCGATCACCCGGTTTCAGAATAAGAGGTTTACATGAGCCATGCTGTTTAAGGCGCTGCCCCCTTCTTCGAGCAAGTACCTCCTCCTGGCAGAAAACCCGCCAAAAATGTGTGCGATAATGGCTGGAGAAAAAAATATTTGCAACTGAAGCGGATCATATTTTACTAACATCTGGCAATGCATGAAGCACATCTAGCACTACATTAAGTACATCAAGCACTTCATTAAGCACATCTAGAAGTACAGCAAGCGCATCTAGCACTACATTGTCAGGCACCCGAATGGGTGGCTTGTACTAATCGGCCTCTAAGGTAAGAGGTACACCATGGCCAAGTTGGACAGAATAAGGGCTGCGGAGTGTGAAAGCCATGCCGCTGCAAATGTGGTTGAGCTGCCTGAACTGTCTGAGTTGCCTGAACTGCCTGAACTGCCTGAGCCGCCTGTGCTGCCCTCGGGCTTGAAGGTGACTGTTAGTTCAGCACTACTTTCACCTTTTAACGTAAGGATCCGATCAGTTGATTCCATCTTGGCCTTCACAGTGACGGGAAACAGAACTAGAAAGTCAAATAATAAAAAAAAATCCGATCAAATTTCAATGAAAAATCTGTTGCGGATTGTTTGCAGAAAAAACTGAGCACAGGGGAGGCAAAATACATAAACAACACAGTTCAATTTACGCTGTGAAACTTCTAAGCAGTCTGCTGCTTCTGCTGGTGGCTTCGGACAGGGGTTCGTGGCCGATACAGGAGGCGGGTTTTCGCGGCCACTCTGGATGCTACTATCGCCCGGCTTCAGTATAAGTTGCATTGTCTAAATAAAAGTAAAGAAGCTTAAGTGTATGCTATTGTGAAACCATTAAGGAATATAAATTTGCAGCGAGATCAAATCCTGTAAAATTAGAAGCAATGCAAACAGCTTTTAAGTTTCAAATGTTATGCTAAAGAGCAAATGGTTGGCTTACATCTGGTACGAATGGAAGAGCAAAATTGGTTTTTTCGATTGTGGTGTCTGTGACTTTTCGTGGTGGGGCTGACTTCTCTTTCTTTTCCTCCAATTGGCCATCAGAATTAATTGTGTAGGAAGCCTTAGTGTTTTTTTGCCCGTAAACTGGACTTCTGCGTATTTGTCCTTGTTAGTAATTATGAAGTGTACTTTGGAGCCTCATAAAGAACGCACGGACAACCACGCAGGAACCGCAACCCTCGTTGCTGTATCATACAGTGGCAAAAACATTGAAATTGACCTTTTCTGGCTTATAATCTGTCAACAGTCAGTCAGGCCTAGCACCATGTTTTACAAGCCGTACTGCTCAAACACGGGACCTGTCGGTTAGAATCGAACGCCCCTATCAGTTTGCAACGAGCTTGATGTCATCTCGTATACCACCAGGCATTTT